GGTTTTTTCCTTCTCCTTTTCCACTCAGCTGACTTGAGCCAGCATTCTGGCATCAATCCTTTGTATTCCAGTATTTTTACTGTGCACTAGGAAACACGGCAGTAACAGGTATGCCAAATGTGTCCACTGGCGACCGTGTGCTGTGTGATTAGCTGTGGGTGATTGGCTTGCACTGGGCACGTTAGAAGTCCAGAGGCCCACGGTGTGGAAACTGCGTCAGCGGCACTTACAGAATGCATGGCTATAATCTCATCCCACAGAGATGGTTATCGTTGGTCATTTGCACAGTGTAGCCTCTGGATGAATGAGGGGGGTGGGGGAAATGGACCTGCGGATGATAGAAGACAAGTCTCAAGAGGGCGAATGGAGTGGATCAAGTGACTAGCCCAGCAGCCCGAGCATAAGTGTGTGGTTTAAAAGCCATGTGGCATGGGGACTGCAGCTGTCACAAAACATTGTTTTAAAAAATTGAAATAATGTTTTAAGTTTAAATTAAAAAAGAAAAGATACGATTTTAAATAATAAAAATGCAATATAAAAGAATTGGAGAGAAGGAAGAGGGCCTTTTTGTAGACATCGGCAAGGTGATTTTAAACTCCCTACAGAAAGGCCAAACACCAACTTTGAAAACAAACAACCTTAGAGAATTATAACCACCTGATTGGACGATTTATTATAAAGCCGTAGCAATGAACACTGTTTTGAATTGAGAGTTCAGATATCTATGTATCCATAGCTAAAATTAATTTTCAATGGACGTTCAAAGACACACAATCCAGAAAGAATCATCATCTCAAGAAACAGAGGTCCAAGTACATAAATCTGCAATTCACAGGAGAGGGAATTTAAATGTCCATCAAACATATGGAAAGATGCTCAAATGCGTTAGCAATCAGTGAGCTCTAAGCTAAATCACGAGATGCAATTTAACACCCCAAATATTGGCAAACAACGTGAAAACCTGACCACACCAAATATTTGGAGAAGATATAAAGAAATGGAAACTCATACATCAGTGATGGGAATGGGAATTGGTACGATTTACAATAGAGAACAATTTGACAATGTCTTGTGAAGTTAAAGATGTACTTGGCTCTACAAATGAGTGCTTTTTCTAAGTGTGTATGTGTACGTGTGTGTGTGTGTGTGTGTGAGACAGCGAGAGAGATTTTCATGCATCTATATAAGGAGATATGTAGAAGAATATTTTGTGGCGGCATCCTATGTAAGAGATGCAAGTGCAAAATATTGGAATCAACCTAAATGTCCATCAACGAAAGAATGGTTTAATAAAATGTGGCATATTCATACAAAATAAATACCACATAGGAGTTAAAATGTATTAACCATAGTTACATATGTCATTCCCAAGTTAATCTTAAAACATAAGAATAAGGGGAGCAGGGCAAGCTACAGATGATAAGCATGGTAAATACTTTGTATAAAAATGTTAAAAGTGCATGTAACAATTTTGCATAGAGTTCATAGACGCACACCTGTGCAGAAAACTACAGAAGCACGCATGGGAACTATACGACTACCTTGGAGAAGAGAGACTGGAATCAGGAAGGAAGGGGTACATAATGGCTTCCAATTAGTCTGCAATGTTTTCTTTTAAAATATCAGAGGAAATATGGGAAAATACGTTCGTATATCATTTTCCATACCTTTCTGTAATCTGAAATGTTATTTTAATTGAAAGCTTGCATCAATCACCACATCGGTCTTGTATTTTCTTCTCAAATACACTTCTTCTAGCCTAAATGCTCTAAGAAATTTCCCATCTGACTATCTCACAAGTAGTGCAACCTGCTGTCCTACTTTCCAACCACAGGAGAATAATCTTGTATTTTCTTCCTCCTCCGTTTTCTTTCTTTTCTTTCTTTTTTTTTAAGCAAAATTTACCTCGCAGACTAGTATGAATGACCTTATTTTTGCTTTGCCAACACCTTCCCGAGCTGAAAACAATGAATCTTGATAATGA